TTCTCAGAGAACTCACATTTCCCCCACCTTGAGACCTTTATCAAACCAAACTCCCTAAATTTAAGGAAAAAGAAGACAGAAAACCTTTTTAAAATTTATTGAATTTACACTCTGACAAATAAACATTTTAAAACATGAACACATTTAGTTTTATTTAAAAAATTTAAGATAGGCATAGGCATGACTAAAACATGTGAATATAGGCAATACCTTCAACAACATATCACGGAAGACATGTTACCAAATATTATGCTCATTTTTGACATTAAGTGTTTAGTTGCAATAAATCAAAGAAGCATTTCTCTCAATACAACCAAATGGATGGATACTAGAATAGACCTGGCTCATCCACTGTTATGGGCAGACCTGTCCAAGCCCAAACTTAAGAAAAGCATTACAAATCTCAGTCCAGCCTGTTGGATCTTAGCCCATTTTTGTAACTTTTTTTAAATAATTTATTAATATTTGATTATTTGTTAGTTTTTGCTGATAGGGCCTGATATCCCCAGACTAAATCCCCATCACAACGGACTGGTCAATTGACTTAATTGACCAGGCCCAGTTCATGCATGCTGAGGAGGAGATGGATCATTGGGTAATATATACGATAACTATATCAGTAATTCACGTCTACAAAATATTAAAATATAAGTAGGGACTTACAAACGTCTATGCCATGAGCCACTACATGTTAAAATGGTAAATGATACCTTCACCCGATCCTGATCAGACAATGGCCTCGAAAGGTCTCTGATTTTCAAATTCTCTTTTAAAAAATCAGTCACCAGAATTGGCTGATAGAATGCCGTGGCAGACAAATCTGCAAGATAGAAATTAAATATTTCAAGCGACTGTTAGCACAAAATTTACAACAAAAATCTGAGCATAAATATTAATTGACAATAGTTTAATGCCTATATTTACCAATATTAAGGGATAAACCCATCTGGGTTGGTCTCAAGCTTTGGTAATGTCCCCACCAAAAGTCCACGCCATCTCCAAGGTTGCCCCTCATGTCAGGTGAGAAAAACGATCTTCCCACAATAATGTTACTATAATTTAAACTTTCAAATTAGTTGAAAGAAGTATCAAATTAATAATTGAAATATGAAAGAGATCATAACTAAGCAAAACTATTTGTGCTCTCTTTACTTTTCCAATTTTTATCTTATTTGCTTTCCAATTAAATGTCATAATTACTCTTTCGATGCCATTTGTCTGAGGACAATATCCAAAGCCTGAATTGTTTCATATGGCGCATCTATTTGTCTGGCAGATAAAAACTGTTGTAGATGATCAAGGTCTGCCTTTCCAGCCAATTTGAGTGCCACCTTAAATTCACGTTCATTCCTAAATATATAAAAAACAATTCAACATCCTAACTAAGAAATGAACTGAACTTTACACATAAATTTACAGCGACAAGTACCTCTTGGAGGTCGATGAGCTGACACTAGCATCTATGTTAGTTAACTTGACCACAAATTCCATAGATGTAAAAGGCAGCGCTCCAGCTGTATAGAGGAATTTCCTTCCATCATAAGCCGGTTGTCGATTATTCAGGTGAGAAGCTCTGCATGAAACTACTAGCTCTTCTATAACCAAGCGATTTGTCTTCTTAGATGATACCTCAGGAGTGATTGACACCTTCAACATAAAAACAAACTTGTTAGCTAGCTAAATAAAATAAAATAAAAATTCATGAAAAAAAATTGAAATTAAACAATAATTATGCAATAAATCTTATTCTAAATCAAATAACCTAATCTTATTCTACGCTTCATCGGAAAATAATAATAATAATAATACCGATTGTCATCTTAGTACCTTGTCACTTCAAATGGTTGTAACAAATATAAATACAATTAAATATCTAATAGAGAGAAAAGAACAGAGAGATCATTAGGAAGGATAGGAATAAAGAAAGTGTAAACTTAAGAAGCAAGAAACTAAATATTTCAAAAAAAAAAAAAGAAAAAGAAATCGAAATTTAGGGGCTTACATCATACTGAAATAAATCTCTATACGCAAACTCAACTAAAAAGTGGTTTGCTCGAATCTGACACTTGTATCCTGACTTTCCAACACCTGGCCTCGCCGGGAACCTAATAGCCTTGGACGATGCGGGTGGCATCGGCGCCGGCTCCAATGTCAGTCTCCCCGCCAAGTTAGTGTTCAGTTCGGAGACAGAAGCCGAAATTGCAGCTGGCTTGTCAGATGGAACTAGTGAGGATGAGGTCGAGGCTAAGGAGGAAGGACCAGGAGACATGGCCACACTTGGGAGCCGCCACCGGAATGAATGCTGGTCGCGATGTGGGAGGAGCCGCAGCGACCGGCATAGGAACATTTTGCTCGGGGCCAGAGGAGTCGCCACGACCCCTGTTTCCGCGGCCTCTTCCCCGTCCAGACCCAGAGAAGCCTCCTCGCTGGCTCGACGACCGCGAAGACAGAGAATACTGTCTACCACCCCTGTGTCCCGACATTTCCGTAACACAACAGTAAAAGAGAGAGAGAGAGAGTATCTACGCGCGCGTAAAGGTTACGCTGAAAGAATGGCACAAGAAAAGAAGCGAGCGAGAAGAATGGGGGAGAGAGAGAGAACGAGAGAGTTGGAGATGGTGTGTACGTTTGCAATGGGAGATTGGAGAGAGGGAAAGACAACCTGTTAACCGGGTATATCCGGGTACCACAGTTCTTCCCACGGTAATTAATTTAATTTCAGGATTAAAATTTCTTGCCATTAAAATGAGTAGACCAAGAAGTAAGAAAAATGTATACTTTTCCAGATCAGTCAAAATTCCATCCCAACATTATATATTTACCAAATATCTAATTGTATAATCTATTTGAAAATATTCAATGTACCCTCATAAATTTTTTAAATATTTATTTACTTTTGAGGATTTTACATGTCAACCAATCTATTTTTACATATAAATTAATTTATAATTTATCACGTAAGTTGTTATAAATATTTTTCCCCTTTTTTTTATAAAAAAATTATCGGAGTAACTTGTCCAATTTTACTTTTGAATTATACTCAATATTGCATTTGAATCTTAAATATTTTTCCTTTTTAATTTTTTTTTTAACATCCCTGCATTTTCTCAAGTTGCAGGTTTTATTTTTAAAATTTTGCATATTTTAAATTTTTAAGGAAAATCGGTCTTCTCCTTTCAGTCTTGACCTCCCGATACGAGTTAATTTTTTATCTCTTTACTTTTAAAAATATTTATTTATGTGTTTTTTTTTAATTATCGATATGTGTATTTTTTAAAAATAATAATAATAATAATAATAATCATATTCATACATGAATATAATTCATATTTTTAAAATTTTGGTTAAATTAAGTCCCACCGTTAAGAGCACATTAATAATAATGTCTACATAGAAAGTTATTTATTATCCCATGAATTAAATAAAGGGTTAAGAGAGTAAATTAAAAGCTTTGATGATTCATCATCATTTCGACTGAGAAAGTGAAGAGTCATCAATATAACAAATGTAGTTTATTTATTATTAGAGGTGAAATTAAATATGGTCATTTGTAATAATATATGTCTTTGGAACATAAAAAAGTTTATTAAAGTTACTTTCTATACCATAATCTATTAATATTCTATCATCTACTTAATAACAAATCAGTACTAAGTGCTTGGCAACCGATTAAACAAATAATTTTATCGTTTTTTAGAAGGAAACTTTCAATTTTTCTAAATATTATTATGAGAATTTTTTAAAGAAAAACTAAATAGATACTATAATGACAATTTTTTCATATTAAAATAACAATAAAGAGGAAAGTATGGGATCATCTACCGGAGAAATTATTACGTGCAGCTGTCTTTGCCCCATCATCCTGTATACTAACCAATAGTTATACTTAGAGTTAAAGAAAAGCGGCTTGATCATTTGCTTTCTTCTCCTTCAACTGTTCTTTATTTTCTTTCTCATTATATGTATAAATTAATAATGGAGTTATTTGCCAGATGAAGAGAGACCAAGGATGAGGGTTTTGACTGTGTGTAATGATGGAGCAAGAAGAAGATCGAGAGAGGGAGAGTTCTCAAAAAGGGTTTTCGATATGAAAGGAAGAAGGTCTTAATAATTTGCTAAAGGTGAACGCCACGTAAGCATCTGACGTGACTTTTAAGATAACTATTGGTAGGCCTAGAGATGATGTGGCATAGGCAGGAAAGCTCAATTGTTTAGTTTCCTAATAATAAGGGCGAGTAAGGATGATTATTTACAACCCGCAAGCAAAGTAAGAAAAAGAACTCGCAACGACCTATCTATCTGTCGCACGACTAACCTACTAGTGCCTCCTAGGTAATTAGACAATTACGAGTAGGTGAAAATAATTATTCGCTCGTATATGATTATTGTTTGGATTTAAAAGATTGCAGGTTTCACATATTGTACGGACAAAAAAATTATTTTTTATTTATTATTAAAAAATTAGTAAAAAATAGTACACATACATACATGCATATAAATATCATCCATCAACAAAATTATTAATGAGAGCTGCTTTGTCGTGGTTTTGAAGGTTTTTATATTTTTAAATTAAATATGCAAATTATTTTTTGTTAAATAGTTAATAACTTTTTTATCAATTTTTTTAACCCTATAAATGCTGAGGTATACATCACTTTTATTATTGAGTTGAATACAATTAAAAAATGAGTTTATCAATTGAAATTTACAATTAAATATGAAAGAAAATGAAGTTCACCAATCAAGCTATCCAAAACCAACGTTTTTGTATAAAAAATAACAAGTAAAAGTGAAGGAAAATGTTGGATTGTGCAGGTAGTGTTCGGTGACGGCAGAAGTCACGAAAGTGGGTGAACAGAGAGAGAAGCTCTTCGCGGGAGTGGCTAAGTGATGTGTGTACATATTTACCTACAAAATAACATTAAAGTGTGCAAGAAAATAGAGAAAAATGGAAGCTTTTGGTGTGCATCAGCAGTAGCAGAGAGGAGAGCAGGTTAGAGTTTCTTGAGAAAGAAGACATGTTTAAATACATTTTTTGTCCCCGAGCTCACTTGAGCTCGAACGCACTGAATCACTCTTTAGTGAAACGGTGCGTTTTTGTGTGGGTCGGGTCAGCCTGTTTTCACACAGGCTCGATAACATCCCCCCTCAAGATTTGGAGAGTAGACGTTTTTTTGCTCCCATCATAATCATATGCTTCTTGAGAAGCCAATTAGATAAAGCTTTAATGAAAATATTTACTAGATGTTGCTTGCTGCTCACATGCCTCGTGATTATACTCCCTTTTTGTACTTTATCTCTAATTAAATGACAATTTATCTCAATGTATTTGGTTCTTTCATGAAACACAGGATTAGCAGCTATGTGTATGACAACCTTGTTATCACAATAGAGGTCTGTTGCTTCTAAATTACATACTTTAAGGTCATTAAGTAAGTACCTTATCCAAGTTAGCTCATAACACATACTAGCCATGGCTCTATATTCCATCTCTGCTGAAAATCTAGAAATTGTTTGTTGTTTTTTAGATTTTCAAGATATCAATGAATTACCTACAATAACACAATATCCTGTAACAAGTTTTTTTGTGTCTGAACATCCCGCCCAATCATTGTCAGTATAAGTATTTAGTTTTAGCTCAAATATATTTGAGTAACATAAACCTTGACCTAGTGTACCCTTAATGTACCTTAGGACTTTGTATGCAGCCCTTAAGTGACAGTCTCTAAGACTCTCCATGAACTGGCTTAGAACTTGAATAAAGTAAGCCAGATCAGGCCTTATCAATGTGAGATACATCAACCTTCTAATCAACCTCCTCTACATCGTTGGATTTAGTACTAGCTCTCCTTTATCCTTTAAAAGTCTAATATTTTTGTCTAAGGGGGAGCCATGAGGTCTTGCTTCCTAAAATCCCTGCATTTTTCAAAAGGTCTAGGGCATATTTCCTCTGGCATATATGAACCTCTCTCTTTAACCTAGCAACTTCAATGCGAAGGAAATACTTTAAATTTCCTAAATTCTTAATTTCAAATTTGTTATCCAATGTTATCTTTAGTTCTTTAATAATAGATTCATCATTACCTACCACAATAATATCATCGACATATACAAGTAATAAATATGGTAAAACTTTCACCGTTGGCCTTCACGAACAAGCTGTAGTTGGCCTTGGATTGCTTGAATCCTTGTTGAGTAATAAACTAAAAATTTTTTGGCATACCACTATCTAGATGCTTGCTTAAGCCCATACAAGCTTTTTTGAAGTCTACTTATTTTCCTTTCTCTCTTTTTAGGATAAGGAGGAAGCTCCATATGACATCTAACTATTAAAAGTGTCATCCTCTGATTGTAGCTAGAGCCAACAATACTCTTATGAATATGATTTTGGCCACATGTGAGAATATCTTATGATAGTTTAAACCTTCTCTTTGAGTTAAGCCTTGAGCAACAAGTCTAGCTTTGTGTCTTTCAATGGTCTCATCTGCTTTGAATTGCACTTTGTAGACCCACTTACATCCTATTGCTCTCTTCCCTATCGATAAATCAACTATTTTCAAAGTCTTATTTTCTTCAGGAGCTTAGATTTTGTTTTCCA